CTCCATAGGAGTATACGTATTATGTCCTTTCTTTAACCATTTTATTCTGCTGGATATTTAACCACTATGCAACCTGTGGCTATGCAACAGCAAGTCACTGATAGAATTACTCGAAGAAAATAAGATTAGTAGCTCTCCACATGAAATTCTGAAAAATTATTGAAAACACAGGTTTTGGGGAGTCTTGGACTAGATTATACCATCTCCAAGAGAGCTAGGATGTAATCGTGAAAGGACTGCATCAATGGGCAACGCCAGCAGCAATGTTACCAACTAACCACATATGCTGTCTTTGAGAATGTGGGGCAGCTTCTCATCATACTTGCATAGAACAAAAAACTTAAATAAAATCTCTTGACATTCCAATGCCATTTTAACCTGCTCCATTGTTCCTCTGGATCAGCACTGACCATGTCTGTGGCCACAATCTCTGAATCCTGCCCTCCAAATGCTTTGTTGCTGAGGTTTAAAAAAAAAATCCTATATGATACAGAATCTGCTCCTGCTAACTGGTGAAGTTGCTGTCTTCTCTAAATGCTTATTACTGCAACCTTTTCTCACACTGAGTAATACTTGTGGGAGTAGTCCCACTGAAGGTGATGGGACTACTCACACAAGTGAATGTTACTCAATGTAAAAGTTGTAGAATTAGTCCATAAGTGATTCACTGGATGATTAATGGTGAGCTTTCTAATTTGAAGTGAATTAGGATCTGTAGCACAGATTTGATTCTTAGCAGTTCATCTGAAGAGTTTTCTGTGGAGAACACATTTGACCAACTGGTCAATAGCCTTGCATCCTACATCAATCTGGAGACTGATTCTCCACTGCCTTGCCCCTGTGTAGTCTTTTACATCTATGAAGCGTGTGCAAAACAGGCATCAAACACTACTAAGACCTCTACTTTGCATAAGTGTAAATGACTAAACTGATTGGAAGGCAGCAGGGAATCAAGCTCAAGGTATGATGGTCCACATAGACTACAGTGATGGCATCTCTCTTCTTGTTGAAAAAAAAATGCTATTTTTAAATTTAAGAGATTACTCTGTGTGTGTCATACCTACTGCAAGAAAACTAGTTTGCAGAGATATTTTCAATTTAGTTTTAAATATTGTGAAACCTGTGGTCTTTCTCACCTCTTGTGGCAGAGAGTTCCATGCCTAGGTCCAGATCCTGCGAAAATTCTGTAGTTGCTGCTCATGAATCTCTTACTATCAAGCAATAGTGTCACTAGCTGTGGTAGTACAGAGAAGTGATCTTTCAGGCCCTGATTCAGGACAGCACTTAAACATATGCTTGACTCCCATTGATGCTTTCCTGAATTGAGGCCTTAAGTAATCTGAGCTTATCCCACACAGGACTTGAAAGCCAGGATGAAGACCAGGACTCCTAACAGATCAAGATCGGCCAGTGGCTCAAAGGGAGTAAATACAATAACCCCTTCTAATGGTTAAGGCCCCAAAATTGAGAGTTATTATTACTTAAGAACTGTGTTGGCATCGAGGCTTTATAGAAAAGACAAGACAGAAAGCTCAGAGAATAAAAAAACAATTCTTAACGGCAAGGTTTCTTCACTTTCCAAATAGCCTAAGGAAACTCATAGTTTCAGCAGCCTTTCACAAGAGTACTGTTGACACAGCTAAAGAGACTTCCTTTTCCCCCCATGTGTGAAATAATGAATTGGAATATAGCTATCAAATATTAAGATACTATGGTATATTGCCATATAAAATAGTGGGGAGGGGGAATAGGGAATCAGATTGAATCGACTATTGTGATTACATAAAAGTTATATGTTTTAAAATGGAAGTTGGCTACACGTGATACAGCTTGGGGCAAAATATTGCAAACTTTAATGACAGGGTTTACCTCTTGGGCAATCCTGTTAAGGAGAGAAGCAGGTTGCATTCATATTGAGTTCTTTTAGTTTAGTGATAAAGTGAAGAAACAAGGCTAATATTTGCAATCAAGCATGTTTATGCTATCAAGTTGGTGAAATACACATGTGCTGAAAAAAGCAATAAATAAAAAGGACTGAAACCAAATAGCATCTTATAAAGACACAATGAGAGTGGAATAATCAATCAATAATGTAGAGCTCTAGCTCAGCTATGCATAAAAAGGTTCCTAGAATTATTAAAACAAGGAGCACAGAAATGGAAAATGTATACACCTGTTCCAGTTTGCTGGAGAACAGTTCTTGAAGTGACTTTGAATTGTACAATGGACTGTTTAAGACCAGTTTAAAGAACATCAAAGAATGCATTGGGACTTTATAAATTATATGAACTTGAAACTTCACATGTCAGCAGCTAGTAGAGTGCTGATGGAAAAACTGCACCTTGAACAAGCACAGCCTGTAAAGTTTGCCAAGGAATGCACCACAGAGCAGCCCACGGAAAGCGAATTGCAGAAGTAAGTTACTGACTAGAGCAACCCAACCCATGCTCAATGTTTGTCCCAAGATGGTTGTACCAACAGCTATGGCCTAACTTGTCTTACACAAGCTGGTATGACAAGATGTTTTGTATGAAGAGACTGGAAAATTTTCAACCCCAGTTGCAAAAGCCCAAAGATGATGTCTCATTCCCTGATTAGATGGTGAGAGGACAACTCTCATTTTGACTGAATATTTCAAATCTTTGGCAGAAGTATGGGTCATCATCTAATTGGTCCACAGCAGCACTCCAACCAGAGGAGCCAAGTTGGACCACCCGACAGGAATGGGATAAAATGGCTCCTTCAACGCATCACTTCCTGAAAGCTGAAGACACCTGGAAGGGAGAAGACAGAGCTGGCCACCTAAGTACTTGATGTCATCGGCTATCTTGGATAGGCACATTTAACTGTCTTTTATTTTTCAGGAATTCAGATGTCCTGATGTGCTAGCAGGCAAAGACTATAGTCATGTCCATTCTTTGCTCCGCCTGTATTTGCGGCATCAACTCCTGTGGTGAATAGTGACTGAGCTGAAAACTGACAGCTGAGCAAAGATCTGTTGATAAGTAACACACACTTTCTTTTGGTGACAACCCAAATCACTCAATTGATTACTTCCTGAAACTGGGTACTTAATTAGTAAGGGCATGTCCATGTTTGTGTATGTGCTTTAAAGACTGTCACAGACTGTTAAAGACTGTTAGGCTTTGTCTCCACTGACAATTGAATGACAAACTTTTTGTCTTTCAGAGGTGTTACCCTGAAAGACAAAAGTTTTGCCACAAGTGCCAGTGTGAACAGCGCGTTGTCAGCAGGAGAACACTCCTGCCGACAACACAAACGCTGCTCGTTGGGGATGGGAGTTTTTTGTCAGCAGGAGAACACTCCTGCCGACAACACAAACGCTGCTCGTTGGGG